GGAGCCTTGGAGCCAAGAGGCAATTTTTGTGGTATCATGGAACATGGTCTAGAGGCACAGTCACTGGCAACTGACTGGGTATCAGAGACCCATGCTGGGCCTTGTGCTATCCTTTTCAACCAAGGATTGAGAGGATTTGTGGCTCTTCAAGGAAGGAGCCTTTGCAGGAGACTTTGATCTCTTCTCTTTCTAGTCTGGGTGCCCTTCTCCCACAGCAGGTGCACCTATTGCTCAGAAGTTTCTGCCTAAGGCATTCCAAAGACCTCTCCAGGAGAAGAAACACGCATCTGATGAAGTGAGCTGTAGCTCACGAAAGCTTATGCTCAAATAAATTAGTTAGTCTCTAAGGTGCCACAAATACTCCTTTTCTATTTCCACACTAGACTCCCTAGCTCTTTCAGTTATCCTAGAAAAGGATTTATATATGGCACATCTTTCAGCTATGTGCCCTTAACCCAGACACACTAAACATCTAGTGTGACCATTATTAAGAGGCATTACTGACTGACATTAAGGACAACTCTTAAAGCCTGGAGATTTGTGTTTAGTTATTGTGACTGATCCCATTACCAGAACAGACTTTCAGGGAAAATAAAAAAGATTTCTACTTATGAAGAAAGGAAATTAATTGCTAAGTCTCAGGTTACAAAACAATGGTAAACTACACAGCAAGAGAAGAGGCTTGGAGACTGCAAGGTTCAACTCACACACTGGCAGTGAGCAGCAACTGAGAGCACTTGGGATCACCCAGCCCTTTACGCCCTTGGCTGGAAGGAAGAGAACAATCAGGCTGCAGCTGTGGTCCTCAACGGACACGGCTGGCCAAAAGAACCCAAACTTGAGCACGTTGGGCACAGGGATACAGACAATGGAATATATATGAACATATATATGGACAACAAGTCAACTGAGATTTTCATGTACAGAAGTAAACATGGTTGTTTGCATTTTCTTTACGGTGGAGTGAGGTAGTGGAAAAGGAAACTTCAGTACAAGAAAGTGATCAGCACTTGAAGGAAATCTAAATACTTCAGGAGGTTCTGCTTTCAAGAGATGGTATTCTTCTGATTTCTACTGAACCACTACCCTGCCTAGTAAGCAGTTGGGAAAATGAAAGGTTGGAAATGCCATTGTTCAGATGGATTGCAAAACTCAAGACCCAGAGATTCCTATTCATTACAGAACTTTGATATGAAGGTGTCCCCCTTAATATTCTAGCTAAATTGCAGTTTGGTAAGAAATTGTCTACTTACAATTCCAGTTACATACAATATCATGATTATAAACTCTTGTGTAGCATTGCACCAAGCTGTTGTGAAGCTGGCAGGCCTCACCCGACACCCTTTTAGGAATAAATTGCATCTCCATTGTATTTATCACCTTAAGAGTATTTGCACATCTTATGCACTACTGCACATTCTCATCACATTTATCCTTTTGAAGTTACACACTCCAGACCATGCTGCATCCTACAACCTGTAAACTGAAAATTGTAATTCGTAACCACCAATATTTCCCCCTCATTATATTTTCCCAACTTAGCAAGGAAGTCCTTAGAAATGCCTCCCATCCCCCTGCCCAAATGCAAGGTTAGGATCCAAACGGTTTGATTCAAGACTATCAAAATAGGCAGTCAACCAGGGGGGGAGGGAAGGATGATTTTCTTAAGTCTTCTATACGGTCATTAAAACAACAAGGAGTACGGTGTCACCTTAAAGACTTTAAAGAATAAAGCCTTTAAGGTGCCACCAGACTCCTTGTTGTTTTTGTGGATACAGACTAACACGGCTACTCCCTGAGACTTTACACAGTCATTGCTTCCCTGAGCAATTTCAGCCCAAGATGTACGTTTTGGGACAGTTATACACCATTGACAATAGTGGCTTTGAATGAAACCAGAGTCTCAACTTTAGCTATTACTAGCGTAGTTGCAGCACTTACTGAGTGCATAATGCTTTATAAACATTAAGCCTCAACATGTCCGAAAGGTCTATATTATTCCCCATTTTAGGGAAAGGTAAAAGTGAGGAATGGAGGCTGTGCAAGTTACCCAAGTCCACACATGCAGCAGGCTAGTTGAGGAGAAAGCAAGTGTCCTGACCCACCACAGAGGTGCTCTACCTACTAGGCTACTCTGCAAATGCCTGTAAAATTCAGCACAAGAGTCTTTTATACAGAAAAAACTCCAGCTATGCTCAATTTCTTGACAATGAAGCAGTGAAATAAGCAGAATGTGTAATGTTTCTATTTTACCCTCAATTTTCTTGTTACTTTCAAATCTCTGCTTATAAAACATCCATGAAGCAACCTGACTGAATACAGTCAGCTGCTGATTATATTGTAAAGTAGTATATACTGATGAAGTTTATTACCTCTTCTCCTTAGTGAAGAGCTTTTCTTTTAGTAAGCCTCCTCATCTACGTAAACATGCTCAGAAATACTAAACACATAGTCAGAATATAAAGAAAGGTTGATACCAGTGTTTCACCATTGAATTTAATGAAAACTGCAGTTCAAATTCTATTCTTACTTTCCTAGCCTCAATCCTCTCCTTTCTCCCTTCCCCTGCCACCCTACTGCAAGCCTCAGAAAGGAAACTAAAACATTAGCTTAACCTTTTCTTGTGATGTTATAATATGACAGTGTCCTATTGTGGGGAAAAAAGAATAAAAAATAACCAAGTGTTAATTTCTCCCAAACATTCCTGAAACAATTTTTTGCTGTACTATAAATAAGACTTTATCACTGTACTTGAACTTCAGGAACTTTACTAACTAGGCCAGGAATTCCTCTGACGATTAGATAAAAGCTGTTATGATGAAAAGGCAACAGTATAAAAACCCCAAGACTCCTACACACATTTCATTCTTGAAAGTAACCCTAGTGAAGATTGTCATTCAATATAAAAAACATTTTTATTTCTCAATATTAACTAAATTGAGAGAATGTTAACATTAGTATGTTGTTTTTAAAATACATACACTAATAACTTGAATTTACCTTGCCCTAGACTTAGGATTGTTGGGAGATATTTTGGATCTCCAAGTTTAGGAATGGAGATGTTTAGATTACAGCAGAGAAAGGTGCAAGACTTTGCAAACATGGGAGGATAAGGATTCAATTAATAGTTTATAAAAGGTCCCAAACTCTTTTTACTTGCTTTTTGGGGTAAGAAGTGGTCCTCTAAAATTCAAACATTGCAATATTAGGCACAAAGTTTGGATTTACATTGAGAAAAGTGTGTCAAAGTACATACAATACTTGTGACAACAAGCTCAAATGTTTGGGGATTATTTGGGAATGCTGGCTAGTCAGGCCACAACTGTTTGACCTTGAAGTGTTAATGCATTATTGCACTTGTCTGTAGCAGCGCTTGTTTCCAAGGGAGCTGCTGAGCAGCTGTCCCATTTGCCAGCAGGACGGGATGTTACGATGAGTAAGAGAATGTGTTTAGTCAGTGGCACAATCCAACTTTCCAGACATGAGAACTATTCGGATTTGAGGGCACTATTTACTGCTTTGTGGTCCTGGCTCAGCAGTTGACATTACGTTTAAAGTGTGTAATCAAGACGTAGAGCTATTTTAAAAGCTGGGCTACAGTTAGCACTTCAAAAAAAACTACACGATTTTACACTATTTGGGTCAAATTAATTTTATTATGCTCGATGAGGGATTGCCGCCAGTGCAACATCCTATTCACTGTACATTTCAAAAATTCACATACTAAAAATTTCAATTTGATAAATGGAAAACTGAATGATTGAGAAGTTCTTATGAATTCCATACGTACAAGTAAGTGGCTAGCTGATATTGTCTATGCACATAGTGTGGAGATAACTAGCATGAGGCTTTTAGTAATTGCTAAGGCTATCTGGGCGCAGTCATTTAACTAGAGTATATAGAGAGGCCTTCATTACAATGTTTAGCGATGGTGAATCAGTGCCATGAAACACTCTCTTCTGCCCACAATGCTAGCGGTGGAGCACTGAAACATGCAGCCATGACGTTATTTTAGCTTAATTGCAGTTGCCGTCTTCATGCCTAGATTTAACCATACATATGCAATGTTAAGCAGATATTAATTTGGACTTTGTGCAATAAAGTGGATATATTTATAGAAGAACAGAATCAAATGCCTTCTTTGCTAAGTGATCCATGGATCAAACACAGTTATCCCAAGTATACAGTGTTTAACTTCCAGCTCTCCCAACACAGGGAATGGAGATTTCTTGATGAATGCTAATTATGTATTAAAGTACAGAAATCCCAACTCTCTATAGGTTAAAAATACCCTATTAAGCAATGTATTAGGAGAGCATCTGGGCCTTGTCCACTTAACTTTAAAATGCCCTTAATGCTATAAAAGAGAAAATGCTTGAAGTTATATCAAAGTCGTAGAATATTCTCCATATGCACATTCTTAAACCCACTGGGCAGTAGCTTCCCAGGCCTCACCCATAGTCAACTCAGAATGCTCAAGCCATTACAGCAGCGAAGCCAGTAGAAGTATTTCTGGCAGCAGAGGGCAATGTGAATATTACTGGAAGAAAATGAGACCACTTGCAAGAGACTTCCAAAGTTACATGCTTAAGTTACACTTGGAAGGGAGTTAGCATCGCTGGAATAATTTAACTCCTCTCACACCAGTTTTCGGCAACATAACCTTTTAAATTCTTTTCTTTTCACCCGATTAAGTAATTGATTACTAGAGACTAGATAGCTGGGTTAGAAATCCCAAGCCACATCATGCAGGTCCAGCCTGTCAAGATCAGGCCAACACTGGGTTTCAGTCAATACAACTCTGGATAACTTAAATGTAGTTTGGTACCTTGACTATAGTCAGAAAGTCTCAGGATTTTATGTGTTAACTATACTCCAAATATGACTGACTTATCTAAACATTCTGTATCAGTGAGATAACGTGGTTCTGTAAAAAGATTTTCTACCTAAATCTTACTGCAAGTACAATAATTAGTGCTGCAGACATTAAATACCCAGGCTAGAGCAGAGTAGTGTATTCTAATAGGCAGATACTCCAATTTTTACCTCACTATTAAGTACATCTTATATAAAGGTGAAACCTGTGAAACAAGAAACCCATTTTCCAATTATGTACTCAAACGCTATTCTTATGAATAGGGCCCTTGATCTTTATCACAACTCTTGGTCTTCAGGCCAACGTATGCAGACAGAATATTGCCATAATAAAGTTCAGTACATATTTAAAATGTATATTCTGATTTATATGCTTTTAAACACTTTTTTTTTTTAAATGTAGGACTGGTGTCTTAGTGTTTGGTATTACCATAACCCATAAAGACTGCAAAGTAACACCACGTAAGTTTACTTTATTATTACCAGTGCCCTACACATTTAAAAATGAATTTAAACCCAACATTATTGAAGCAAGCATTAAACGCAGCCCTTCAGCCCAAAAAATACATAAAATTGATTTTAAAAATGAATCAAATGACTGTAGCAACAGCCAGATTACAGTATAGCCCCAGAAATTTAGGCTCTTCCTCATTCTGAAAGACAGCTGGCAACAAGGACAAAACTGGTTTGTATCAAAGATGCCTTCACCATTGCTATAGCAAAAAGCCATCCTGTTTAATCTCAGGCAGAGAGTTTCCTAATTAAAGCCTTCAAATATCACTGCTATCCAATATCAGACAATATTGCTACTGTATAATGGTAAGTTATTAATTTTTATAACTAGCTGTGTATTTTTGTAGTTTTATGAAAAGCATACTGCTAAGATTCGAACAACCACAATGTTGTGATGTATTGAAAACCGTGCAATATTATAATCAGCCTCAACATTCATGTAGCATTGTATTCGAAGTGAAGGGGCTCAATAAACTAAGAGCTGCATCACTTAAAGAATGTAGTACTATACTAGGTTTTAATAAGAAAATTTAGATACAGAAAAGTAGGGTATGAAAATAGTGTTTTCCTTCTTGCATTATAACTAAATTACATTAAGGTTTTTGTCAGTCTCACATATTACATTTAAACTCCCTTATTGATGGAATGGAAAGTATTCACATGTACACTGAGCATCAAGATGTAAACTTGCACACATTAACAGGGAGTAGCTTTGTAGAGGATTATGACAAACCTTTACAGATTAAATGAGGTATTGCACAGATTAATAAAAAAGCAAAGGCAACAAAAATATACAGCAAATTGGTAGAACATTTACATGATAATTTTACAGAATCCATAGACAGAAAGTAGTGTTTAGTATTTCATTCACCTTAAAAAATATATATATATATATAATATAATATATTGATCAATCATCCCATTCGTCATCATCCTCAAAGTCTTCTTCATCATCTTCATCCTCATCTTCATCTAGAAGAGGAGCAACAGTCATTGGAGTATACAGAATTTACATGACAAAAAATATTACCTTTCCATTAGAAATCAATCCAGTAGCTGCATAGCTGAAATATGGTTACTAGCATCACAAGAAATGAAATTCACAACTCTAAGTTGCTCTTACTATCAATACCTAATATACGAGGTTCCAGTTCTGGGTGTTTTCTTCTCCAGGGAAGAAAAACAAATACAAAACAAAAAACAGTTTTTAGATATAGCGGTAAAAATGTACTTTCCAATACTCCTGCCCACCCGAGTATTGAGTGAGGCAGGGTGAAAAACATGTTCTAAATTAGGTTTTCTACTTGTGCAAAGAGGAAAAACCAAAGTTAGATGTTTGCCTCTCCAAATTTAAACTCCTACCAAAGGGGTTTCTTCTCCCTTCAAAAACAGACAAAAGTATTTCTATCGTGTCCACGGAGCACTTGTGGTTTATGGAATAGTTCTAACTTGTGTGTAGAGCTATATCTGCCTATGCATGAAGTACATATCAGTCTTCAAATAGCATTGATTGCTGCTCATGGTAGTGCAGTCCAGAATTGCTAAAATTTCTAGAATTGTTCTTTGACTTTGGCCGATCGCAGCTCCCACTGGCCACAGTTCGTGGCTCCAGGCCAATGGGGGCTGTGGGAAGTGGTGCAGGCCAAGGGATGTGCTGGCCGCCCTTCCCGCATCCCCCATTGGCCTGGAGCGGCAAATCATGGCCAGTGGGAGCAGCGATCGGCCGAACCTGTGGACGTGGCAGGTAAACAATCCGGTCTGACCCGCCAGGGGCTTTCCCTGAACAAGCAGTGGACCGGCTTTGAGAACCACTGTGCTAGAGTACTGCAGATGGTCCAGTGGCTTGGTCTGGTATATTCTGTTTCACTATACATCTAGAATTCAATATAGTCATCAGGAAAAAAACAAATGTAATTAACATTTCATGTTCCACTGTATGTTAACAGCTACCCTTTGACAAACCAAAGCAAAAGTTCCCACAAACCTACCTGAAGAATGAATGGCTTTGCTCCTTTTCTGCATAACCTCCATTAATGCACCCACAATTCCTGAGGTGGGTGCAGCTGTGGGTGGCAACGGCTCTTGGCCATCAGATACCTTGAAAGAAGAATACAATGCTATGATATAATTAAACAGAGAACCTTTATATTTCCAGGCAAATCCTCTTTTAGAAAACTGAATATTTTTCAATTATGGAGGGAGATTAGACGTTTGTTGAAACTACAACCTCCGATATAGCTAGAGCTAAGAAAACTTAGAAAAAAGAAAGCTCGGAAACTCCATGTTTTCTAAATGTAAGTTCTTCCACTGTTTTTTGCACAACACAGTTCCAGTTAGTCAGTACTCTGACACAGTGATGATTAAATACATGCAACTAAACTCAGCAAGCCTTATCATCATCAGGAAGAGACCCCACACGGCTGAGGGAAAGTTCCATAATGTATCGGAATAGGCAAGCCTTGTTCAGTTGCATAATGGTCTATGTTCAAGATAACTGAAAACTTATTAAATTTTTTTGCTAAAGTTTGTTGACTAGGTCTAGTCTAGGCAGATAAATCCTGCATCTCCCTAGTAGGGATTTATAAAATTGCATACTGCACCCATGTATTAACAAGTCTATTAATATTTATACATCTCCATACTTCTGGATGGTACTTTACAGAAAGACCTAGTCTGTCCCAAAGAGCTGAGAACATGCTCAGAAAAACCTAGAAGCAGACCAGGCAAGGATCCGGGGTAAGGAAAGAAACAAAAATAATGTGAGTATTGCACTATTAACAAATGTTACAAATTCAGGTGTTTTTGTTTTTTTAAAGACTGCGACGGCAAGACGAGAGATGGTGCAGAGCGGGTTTGAGAAGGGATCTGACAAGAATGAATATGCCTGCCGCACTGGAAGAGGGACTGTAGGAGCTAAAGATTGAGAAAAGTGGTCAGAACGAAGGGTGTTTGTATACATGCATTAGGAGAGGAGTTGAAAGCTGGAGCAGACCTGTGAGGATGTGGAGTGAAACTCATGAGTAAAGACACGGAAACAGTGAAGAGAAGTGGAGCATAAGGAGAAATCCAGATGTTGTCTCCCATGGAACTCATCCTCTACAGTTCTTCAGAAAACTTTATTAAAGCACGGATGCTCCTGGCAAAGGTCACCATAACCTCATGTGCCACGCTAACATTACTAAACCAACATTTAATAAAAATGTAATTTGATTGCAGCGTCAGAGGTGTAGGACTGCACGTTGCGTCTATACTAGATAATTCCAATAAATTAAATTTTAATCTGTTTTCAAACTAAAATCTAGAAGATTATTATTATTACTATTATTATTATTATTATTACTACTACTAAGATTATTATTTAAAAGTCACTGAAAAAGAGATTTGATTTGCCTAAAAAATAATGGAAAAACCTCCTGTAAAGATTTCAGAGGTGGGCCAAAAGTCATAAATATTGAAAATGGAGAATCAATTTTAATTATGGTGTGACAACAGCCAAGACATAACATTAAAGAAAGGTGGCTTAGGATTTATCAAAAAACAAACAAAAAAAATATACAACATGTCAATTCCCTACAACTCCCACCAAAAACAAAAACAAAACAAAAAACAACCCATTGGCTATTGCTCTAAATTAGTTTTGGAAATTTAGAAGACAAAGAGTAGATACTTACAGACTTCAGCTGTATACCCTGTCGTATCTGGTCTAAGAGCGCATCTCTTCCTGAGCTGGACACAGGTCGACTGTTCTGTTCTACTTTCTTTAACTGGGCACCTTCTCTGATTTGATCTAAGAGTGCTGCTTTGTTTCCTGCAGGAGCTGGAAATTGGTTATCAACCTCTGAAGTGAAGCCAGGTGGTGGAGGAGGACCAGGAGGGGGAGGTGGAGGAGGAGGTGGCGGAGGTACATATGAACCACTTGCTGATGGTGGAGGCGGTGGAGGTGGCCCAGATGGTGCAGATGATGAGTGCACTGGAGGTGGAGGAGGATACATCCTGTTTGGAGGAGGAGGGGGCACTCCTGCACCTGGTCTAGATGGAGGTGGGGGTGGAGGTGCTGCTGTGGGAGCTCTTGAAGGAGGAGGAGGTGGAGCTCCTCTTCCCCTTGCAGGAGGAGGAGGAGGACCTGAGCTATGTGGAGGTGGTGGTGGTGGTGGAGGAGGGGGTCCTCCTCTGGATGGTGGCGGTGGCGGCGGAGCTGAAATAAAACATATAAGATAGTGCCTAGTTATATACTACACAAAATTCTTATCCCAAGTCATTCCATCTGAGATGCATGGGAAGGAGTAAAACATAATGCCAAAACACCTTTGTCATGTCTCTAACAAGGATCTCTGTGCCTATACAAAGTTTACTAGTCCTGATCTTGGTACGCTGAAAATATTAGTCCATGTGTCTTCTTTCTCATGTATTTTACAAGAAAAGAACTGATATAATACTAGCTATCAGCACTGCACTATGTTTGTAAAAAAAAAACCAAATAAGTCATAAACCATAAGCTGGGTCTTGATGAGTGGCTTGTGTTATCATTGGGTAGGAATTTCCCTGAATATCCATAGTCCTTTTTGTATAGGGAAATATTTTAGGACGTTAACATTAAACTTTTCAAGACATTCTCCTCAGATACACAGGTATGATTTCAGGAATATTTAGTTTTTGCTAAATTAAGGGTGAGCAGGTAGAAAATACTCATTAAATGGAAACCTAGTCATTTCTACAAAATATAAAAAAAAATGCACTATTGCCCATGTGATGTTTCAACTCTTACAGTTTGAGCTTCACCACTCTAAGTGAAGCTGAAGTTATAATTAACTTGTAGATGCTGATTTGTTTTTTTGAACTGCCTTTCATCTTGCTCAGATCATGAACAATTTATTCTTTATAACAATATCCTAATGTGAAAGAATGACAGAATGAAATGACTTCTTAGATGTGCACCTGAATACATTTTTGATAACTTTAACTTAACTGAATTTTGTATCGAAATGAGTTTATTTGGACAACAGTTATCTTCCAAAGCACAGTTTCTCTTTACTTTCAACTGGGCTTCTTCTAATAGCTTGTGTGATATTATAGTTTGTGTACTTTATTTAAATACTTAGCTATATGGATGGTCTTTAGGTTGTTTGAGAAGCGTGTGCATTCTTTTCATTTGTTATGCTTTGGAAGAAGGTGTGGGGCTCTGGATGAAGTCTGTGAAGTCCTGGGGCTCTGGATGAGGGAAGTACAAGAGGAGGAGTTGAAGGTGTAAACTCAGCTCCTCTGTTCTGCGAAATGCAGAGCTAGAGCTCCCTCCCTGCCTCGCAAGAAGGGGGAGTTCATGATAAGAGGTTTCCTAAAGTTTATGACCAGAAGGGCCATTATTAATTCTATATTACAAGGAAAGGTGAAAAAATTAGGGCTGTCAAGCGATTAAAAAAATTAATCGCGATTAATAGCGCTGTTAAACAATAATAGAATCTCACTTATTTAAATATTTTTGGATGTTTTCTACATTTTCAACTATATTGATTTCAATTACAACAGAATACAAAGTGTACAGTGCTCATTTTATATTTATTTTTATTACAAATATTTGCACTGTAAAAAACAAAATAGTATTTTTCAATTCTCCCATTAAAAGTACTATACTGCAATCTCTTTTTATCACGAAAGTTGAACTTACAAATGTAGAATTATGTACAAAAATAACTGCATTCAAAAACAAAACTGTGTCAAACTTCAGAGCCTATAAGTCCACTCAGCCCTACTTCTTAGTCAGCCAATCGCTCAAATTCACAAGATATTTACGTGCCAGATGCTCTACGGATTCATGTGTCCTTTGATGCTTCAACCACCATCCAGAGGACATGCATCCATGCTGATGACAGGTTTTGCATGTCCTCTGGAATGGTGGTTGAAGCATCAAGGGACATACAAATCTTTAGAGCATCTGGCACATAAATATCCTGTGATGCAAGCTACAACAGTGCCATGAGAATGTCTGTTCTCAGTTTAAGGTGATATTGTAAACAAAAAGCGGGCAGCATTATCTCCTGCAAATGTAAACAAACTTGTTTGAGCGATTGGCTGAATAAGAAGTAGGACTGAGTGGACTTGTAGGCTCCAAAGTTTTACACTGTTTTGTTTTTGAGTGCAATTATGTAATAAATAAATAAATAAATTTGTAAGTTACATTTTCACAACAAAGAGATTGCACTACAGTACTTTTATGAGGTGAATTGAAAAATATGTTTCTTTTGTTTATAGTTTTTACAGTCCAAATATTTGTAATAAAAAATAATACCAGGCGAGCAGTGTACATTTTGTATTCTGTGTTGTAATTGAAACAGATACATTGGAAAATGTAGAAAAACATCCAAAATATTTAATAAATTTCAATTGGTATTCTATTGTTTAACAGTGCGATTAATTTTTTTAATCACGATTATTTTTTTTTTGAGTTAATCGCATGAGTTAACTGCAATTAATCGACAGCTCTAGAAAAAACCTAATGTCCCTGCCAATATGAGCTGTGAGAAATTCCTTCCAGACCCCACATCTGCTGACCTTTTTCCTTTGAGCATGTGAGCAAGACACACCAGCCAGGCATCTAAGAAAGATCATTATCTGTACCTCCTCAGAGCACTGGTCCATCCCATCTCGTCTCCAGAGTTCAGATGTGGCCAATTCCCAATGCTCCAAAGGAAAAAACTACCAGAACACATCTGACCAGTTATGCACAGGGGGTAGGGTTGGGGCTTCCTGATCCCTGTGTGTGACTGGCTGATGCCCTGAAGAATGAGGTTTGATTATAGTCAAATAACCAGGAAGAGGAATTTGAAGTAGGAGCTGCAAGAGACACAGATGCCTCACTGGGTAGATTCAGGGGCTCCCAGCCATTCCTCCTGTAGGTGAAGCAGGAACAGCATTGACAAGAAAATGTGTGCGCCAACCAAGTTCAACATTCACTTCCCCTCCTCCACAAGGAGGGAGGATCTCTCCTTGCTATTACCTCCCCCTTCCTTCCAAAAAGGGAGAAGGAGGATATTCTACTCCCTGCCCAAACCTCAGTTTCATAGATTTTTTGCAGCAGAAATCAATGCTGCAAACATTGTTGGTATTATGAGAATGGGCTGTATTGGGGAAATTTTCCCCTTTGGCCGCTAGAGGTCACTGTCACCATATGTAACATCTTCAGTAAGAGCTATGTATATTTTTCTGGATTACTGAAAAAATATAGGTTTCAGAGTAACAGCCGTGTTAGTCTGTATTCGCAAAAAGAAAAGGAGTACTTGTGGCACCTTAGAGACTGACCAATTTATTTGAGCATGAGCTTTCGTGAGCTACAGCTCACTTCATCAGATGCAATGAAGTGAGCTGTAGCTCACGAAAGCTCATGCTCAAATAAATTGGTTAGTCGCTAAGGTGCCACAAGTCCTCCTTTTCTTTTTTTGAAAAAATATACAACTTTGCCATGCTTCAGAATTTGTGCTGCTGCCATAACTTGTTGCAGTCCACTTTCCTTGACAGAGTGGTGTTAAAATCTGACTTACAGAGAAAACTTTTATCTATGTGCATTAGATTCATATCTAGAGGGGGGAAAAACATGCCATATCCCCGACAACACAGTGAAAGCACCAACCTGATGACTGTGGAAATAAGAGTCTGAAGTTTTGAGGTTCACTTGCACGCAAAGAAAGAAATTTGTTGAACAAATGTTACATACTACCAAGTGAATGGCTGAATGCCTTATGGATTTTCAGAACTGTACAACTCAAAGAGCGAGAGTAACCTCACACCAGAAAACAGAATGACAGAGTATCTGAGTTTTATGAGGAAGAAAAGTGAGTAAGTGAAACGTTCCAAGCAAAAGATAGCTTTTATCAAGACTGATATAACTGAACTAAATTACTCTATTTTTGCCAATAGTTATGTTCAAAGTTTCTTAAAACCTTCTAATGAAAACAGCCTTGCTAAAAAAAACCCCATCAATTCTGCAAGAGTTAGAAATGAAACCTAAGACAGATGACTTCTATTTCAAAATCAGCTAGCAGCAGAATGGACTCAAACTCTACCCAGCATCCTGTCAGGCCTAATGCCATCGATAAGCACAGAGAATCTTGTAATAAAACACAGAAAATGAAAAGTTCCAGGGGGGTGGAGGAGGGGGAGAAGGAGGTGGTTTTTCAGTGAAAATCACAAAGCACTTCAAACCGCAGTCAAGGTTAAACATTACCTTGCACATTATATATAACCATTACAGATAAAAGCATTCTAGCTGACAAAGTTAAGACCTTTAGGACTATTGAACTACTTCTAACACAAAGGAGGCCCCCACCTTATTTGTCATGCATGCTAACACGAGGCAGCAGCTTTTTGTTTGACTACACCCATGCAAAGTGATGGAACTTTAAGTTAATGCACACGTAGTAAAAGCTAGTATTGTACGCTATCTGTAAAACACCAAGGACAAGTAAAGAAACACCTCAAAGATTAACATGGTCAGGCAGTTTCAAAATTTGGTTCTTCATACATATTTTAAGTTTAAAAGAGAATCAAACTTTTAGAGGAGAGCAATACAATTGGAAATTTGCAAACCCAATGTTTTGATATAAAAAGTCCTAATCCAAGCCAAATTTCAATGGTAAACCAACACTGAAGGGTAGTTTTTGATTATATTTTTTTAGTGTCACAATTACTGTGTATTTTATTGTTAATAAATGAGTTTTTGCCTAACACTTCTTATCCATTAAGTAAGGGTCACACAGTCACAACATACATATTTTTTTAGTGACAGATGCGTAAATGACAGCTCAGTACATACCACTCCAAGGTGGGGGACCTAGAGAATAAATGTAACAAGTTACCATACTCTGAACCTGTAACTGGCGAACAAATATGAAGCAATTTACCAAGCACCCTGAAACTGCTATAATTCCAACAGCGTTAATACCAGTACTACTTGAAAAATAATCAGGAAATTATTTTGAATTTTGATATCATCAATCTATTTTTAGCAGAATGACATGTCACATTACATCCTCCCACCACTACCTGATCACTCTCTACAGTGTGTATGGTAACAACCACTGTTTCATGTACTCTGTGTATATAAAATCTCCCCACTGTATTTTCCACTGCATGCATCTGATGAAGTGAGCTGTAGCTCACGAAAGCTTATGCTCAAATAAATGTGTTCGTCTCGAAGGTGCCACAAGTACTCCTTTTCTTTCCACCACTAGTAGTTACATTAAGATGTTATGAAAAACAGCAGAAAAATATGATGGCAACAAATATTTGAATGGAGAGAGGTAAATAGTGGTGTTCCTCTGGGGCCTGTACTGGGACCAGTCCTATTCAACATATTTATAAATGATATGGAAAAAGGGGTAAACAGTGAGGCGGCAAAATTTGCCGATAATGACCATGAGTAGTTTTGTAAGTCCAAAGCAGACTGCGAAGAGCTACAAAAGGATCTCACAAAACAGAGTGACTGGGCAACAAAATGGCAGATGAAATTCAAGGTTGATAAATGCAAAGTAATGCACACTGGAAAACATAATCCCAACTCTCTCTCTATATATAAAATGATGGGGTCTAAATTAGCTGTTACCACTCGAGAAAGAGATCTTGGAGTCATTGTGGATAGTTTTCTGAAAACATCCACTCAATGTGCAGCAGCAGTCAAAAAAGCAAACAGAATGTTGGGAATCATTAAGAAAGGAATAGATAAGACAGAAAATATCATATTGCCTCTATATAAATCCATGGTAGCCCACACCTTGAATACTGCATGCAGACGTGATCGCCCCATCTCAAAAAAGATATATTGGAATTGGAAAAGGTTCAGAAAAGGGGCAACAAAAATGTGTAGAGGTATCTTCCGTATGGGGAGAGATTAATAAAACTGACTTTTCAGCTTGGAAAAGAGATTATGGGGGGGAATATGATAGAGGTCTAGAAAATCATGACTGATGTGGAGAAGCAAATAAGGAAGCGTTATTTACTTCTCATAATACAAGAACGAGGGGTCACCAAATGAAATTAACAGGAAGCAGGTTTAAAACAAACAAAAGGAAGGATTTTTTCACACAACAGACAGTCAACCCATGGAACTCCTTCCCAGAGGACATTGTGAAGGCCAAGATTATAAGAGGATTCAAAAAAGAACTAGATAAGTTCATGGAGGATAGGTCCATCAATGGCTATTAGCCAGGATGGGCAAGGATGGTGTCCCTAGTCTCTGTTCATTCAGGGAAAAGTTCTGTTCATTCCCTCAGGGGCACCCAGCACTGATCACTGTCAGAAGACAGGATACTGGGCTAGATGGAACTCTGGTCTGACCCAGTATGGCCATTCTTGAATACATTTAGTAGTAGTATGCTGGAAATGGCTCATTTATGAATAAAGTTCCAGTAGAAACTTAACTCCGAGACCCTTTGATTACCAAGCAATAGTTCCACTACTTGAGTTAAAAGGAGAACAATCTGCAGGCCTCTGTATATTAGAAGGTACATTACTTACTGTACTAGTAAGCTTAAGTTTGCAGACGCACATCTGTCTTACATTTGATGATTCAACCATGTTCTTTACCTTGAAGTGACAGCAGCAATGGATTTCTTGAATCATATCTTTAAATATTTATGATTTTGCAAGACCATAAATATGCAATGGAAACTACTTTAAAAATTCAGATGGGAGATATTGCATAGCTTTGCAGTCAGTGAAAGTGTTACTGAAAATTACTTATGACATGCAAAACATTTTGAGGATAAAGAGAAATATTTTGGAACTATACTCATGGGTGACACTGGGACACTTATGTAGTGTTCTGTAATGCACAGAAATCTCAGACTCAATGTCAATGCAAAAGCATGAGAAGACTTCCAGAAACTGCTTCACATCAGTAACATTTTTTAATCCTTAAGTCAAATAGCTCAGTCTGATGCATTAGTAGCAAACGACTTACCTTGCCTACGCAGCTCATTTTTAACAGCTTCTACTCCTCCTGTTTTTTCAATGAAATCATAGATCACCTTCGACGTTTCTTTGTCTTTTAATTGAGCCTCTGAAATTCCACACAAATCAAATAGTTTTTTCAGTTCTGGGTCCAAGTTGTTCACCTGCAAATCAGACATGTTAGTACTATAATTTATTTATGGACACTGTTTTCTCACCTGAAGTAAACAAATTGAAAAAATATTCTTATTTTACTTATAAACCATTTTGGGGGGTTAAAAATCCCATCTAGCTAAGAGGAACAGCTAAACAAAAAATGAGACTCAAGCACAGATTTCTGTGCTGAATTCCTTAAGAAGAACAGACTTTTCTTGGTGCAGAAAGAAAATATTAAGCACAAAATTTAAGGATTAGCTAGCCTTCTACAAATATCCCCCCCCCCCCCCCACAAATCCTTTTAGTATTTTCCCTCCACATAGAATTTTTCCAGAGTGCATCATTCTGTAGCATCCCAGTAGCCATGATTTGCATGGTTTGCGATGGAACTTTTAGTTTTTGATGCCATTCTTGGACAATTTAGTCAAAAACATGATGCCTTTAACCATCTGATGTTATGTACAATACTGAAGTTACTTACATCAAAACCTGTGTTTGGATCCCAACCAACGTGCCCAATGTGTCTAAAAAAGCAAAATTAAAGAAATACATTTAATCCATGTTAGGGAAATGACAGTCTTGTGGTTAGAACACTGGACTAGGACTCCAGGAGCTCTGGGTTCAATACCGGGTTATGCCATAGTCTTTTTGTGAAACACTGGGTAAGTCAACAGTCAACACCTCTCAGTGCTTCAGCTCTCTATTTGTATTATGCACTATAAAATAATTTTCCTCTCACCTGTTTTCTTGTTCACCCAGATCGCAAGTCACACTCATTTGGTGGAGAGGACCGAATTCCACTACTTTTGGTTATTGAGTGTGGCATAAATTTATGAGACTATACCCCAGCATAATACAATGGTGTTAACTGGAGGCTTGCACAAACATCAAGGACAGATTTTAGCTTTTATACAGTAACTACACTTCTGGCTACTATTAAAGTTATTTATTGTCACATTCAATACCACACAGTGGGAAAGTAAGCTGGCCCTCCTTCTTTGGGCCACCACCGTTTTTGCTCTGTTTCTTTTCCTCACCAACAGCTCCTTTCTCCATTTCTCTCCTTTTCCTTCTCTTAGTGTTTCTGTTCTATGCTGCATTTCCTTCCCTAAGCAATTCCCAGTTCCTATCAGCCCAGGCTTCTCTCCCACACCCCTACATCCACTAATACAGTTCATGTTGACATTTACGTGCCAGCATTTTATTTAACATTCCCAAGAGATTAATAGGAGACAAGAGTTCACACTTCTCCAAGCCACTGTTTCAGGCTGCCTGCAGAATCAGGAAGGCAGCACTACATTAGTTTACAAGCATTTCATGTTTGGAATGTCTTCTGACAAAAGCAAGGGTTTAAAAACACCTTTTTAAAAATCAAGCTGAGATTCTGCACAATCTGAGTAAGTCATGACAGTCACAAAAATACATCAGGTGGGATATCCAATTGAGAAACAGCATACTTCAGATTAAGTTCATCAAGACAGGGACTGCCTTCATATATGCCTAGCGCACTGGGGTCCCAATCTTGGTTAGGGCTTCTAAGTGCTACCCTAATACAAATATTCCCTTACAAGAATGATACTTTTTGGTCTTAAAGCCTGTTTTTAAGCAGCAAAATTAGAAGTCTTTTACATAAGATGGGCAAAATGAACAAAAGTCTCGTCTAAAAAAACCCCTTATTAATCATGCTATTATTCTAAACATTCATATGAAGTGACATGAGCTATCTCTAGCTAAATCATTTTATAAGTGTTTACATAAACTTATTGTCTCATATCAATATGAAATATAATTACATATACAATTTACTCCTAATACTTATTGTACAAAATCAGATGAAATTAACAGAGAAATTAAACATTTAAGCTAATTCCATATTTCACACTGCTCCTCAAAAGTCTTACAGATGGTGGACAGAACATCATGACAGACACTAAATTAACATGTGTATGCTCATTTGTTTCTTAAATATTCATGGTCATTGCTAGTGGTATTAAAAACAATTTAAAAAAATCTTTGGAAAAACAAACATGGAGAAATATCACACAGATTACCTTTATGTATTGACCAAATTTATTTTGGAAAATGCTACATTACTCTTTCCAATAAACAAACAAAAATAAATTAGTATGAAAATGCTAAAATATTTCACATACAAGTTTTATGATTGTGTGTAAGGTAAGGCCTTGTCTACATAAGAAAGTTTCAACAGTATAATTAAGGGTTGTTTTTTTAAACCAATTTAGTTAACTCATGGATGCACAACTAACTAAATTGGTTTCAAACAACATCTTTAGTTAGCCAGGTTCAACGTTGATTTATACAAGGTATATGTAACATGAATTATGCTTAGAGTTGGCAGAGAAGCCAAATTTTAGGTTTGTGAAATTTAAGTTTCAGGAAATATTTTTTGGCCTGATAAAAATGTGGCATTTCCAAAACAAAATATATACCCTGAGATCCCCGGCTGCCTGCCTGGCAGGTTGAAGTAGAACCAAGGACCCTGAAAGCCTTCACAGGTGTTGACTGAAACGGACATGATTCTTATCACTTCAGTGCTGCTCACCATCAAATAGCAGTGATGAAACCGACCAGATTCTGGCTAGTGTGACAAGACACTGTTTCATTTTTGATGAATCAGCAAATTCTGATGAAAAAATGTTTCACTGGAATTTTCCCAACCAGCTCTGATGCTCAATAGTTCAGTACTTTAACCACAGTACTTATTTATATCTATGCTGGACCAAATTATGCAACATCTACTGTGCTGTCTTGACAATATCAAGCATTAGAACTTCCCTATGTTTGTAACAAAAGCAGATATTAAACATTTATCCCACAATACTAGGTCACTTTAAACAGGGAAACTTATGTATGTATGTATGTACACACACACACACTACACACCCCCACACACTCCAGAATAAGACCATGTCCCACCAAAGTAAAAAACAATGGAAACATTTTATAAATTAAATTTCTTCACTAGGAATTTTGCCTTTGTTACAGATATCTGTGATTAGCCACTGGTGTGGCCACACTAGTGCACAGTCAGTGTTGGTTTAAGCAACGATAAACTCCACTAGTGCAATTGATAATTTATTGTAATTTCGCTTATCTATGCTATGGATCTGCATCAGCGGAGCGCCATCATTAGTGGGTCACAGATAGCTGAAATCTCCAGTGTAGACCAGGCCTGATGGTCATTTGAGTTTTTCCTTCTTTTAGGTCACGCAGTTCAGTTTTTCCCTATTGTCTCGTTTTCTGGCAGTAGTGCTTCTTTTATTGTTTATATTCTGGTCGGGCCAAGGAGCCTCAGTCACAGACTAGGGCCCCATTGTACTAAGCACTGTACAAACAGATAAAATGATTCCTGCCTCAAAGAACTTAAGCATCACATTTGGTAAAAGGATACATTTTATCTTCTCTTTCCTCACCTTTACTGAGCTCTCACTATATTCCACATTCTTTCCAAACACTATTAAATGAGATTGCTATAACGGTAGTGCTACTAGTTCCATGGAAAAGTTTACCAGGCTATCCCAGCGTGCTAGTGATGGAGGATGAGGGTTCAACAAAACAGGATTGCTCGACAAGGGCATAATCCCACATTGAAGAAAACCTTGATTTTGTATTAAGGGAATTGAAGGGGATGCTTTCCGTAGCTAACCCAGGGTCTTTAAATTCTCATTGCTATAATATGACTATGAAACCTAGTGGATAATCATAGAAACATAGGGCCGGAAGAGACTTTGAGAGGTCACCTAGTCCACCACCTAGTCCCCTGGGTTTTTGTTTGTCTAACCTCTTCTTAAAAATCTCTAATGACAGGGATTACACAACATCCCTTGGTAATCTATTTGAGTACTTACCTATCTTTATAGTAAGATTTTTTTTTCCCTAATATTTAACCTAAATATTCCTCCCTGAAGATTAAGCATCATCCTCTTCATAACAACCTTTTACATATTTGAAGACTATTACCAAGTCCTCTCCCATCCTGCAATCTTCTTTTCTCAAGACTAAAAACTGCACATTTTTGTTTATTAAAAGGTTTCCTCACAGGTTATGTTTTCTAAACTTTTTATCATTTGTATTACTCTCCTCTGGATCTCTCCAATTTGCCCACATCTGTCTTTAAGTGTAGTACCCACAATTCAAGCTGAGACCTCACCAATGCTGAGTAGAGCTGAGAAATTACCTCCCATGTCTTACATACAATGTTCTTGTTAAACACATCCCAGAATGACATTTGCCTTTTGTGCAACAGAATCACCATTGTTGACTGATGTTCTGTTTGTGATCCACTACAATGCTCAGATTCTTTTTTGCAGTACTGCCTAGCCAGTTATTCCCCATTTTGTATTTGGGTAATTTGATTTTTTTTCTTCCTTAGTGTAGTACTTTGCACTTGTATCTATTAAATTTCATCTTGCTTATTTCAGACCAATTCGTCAAGGTCATTTTGAATTCCAATCTGCTCGCAACCCCTCCCAGCTTGGTGTCATCTGAAAATTTCATAAGTATACTTTCCACTCCATTACCCAAAATATTAACTAGTACCAGACCAAAGATGGATCTTTGCAAGACTACTAGATATTCCCTCCCAGAGTGACAGTAAACCATTGATAACTACTGAGTACTTTTTTTTAAACCAGTTGTACACTCATCTTATAGTAATTTCATCTAGACCCCATTTCCCTAATTGCTTATAAGAATGTAATGTGGGACTGGGTCAAAAGCCTTACTAAAAATCAAAATATATCACCTCTACGGCTTCCCCCTATACATTAGGCCAGTAAACCTGTCAAAGAAGGAAATTAGGTTGGTTTTGGTATGCTTTGTTCTTAACAAATCCATGTTGGCTACTGCTATTACCTTAGGTTTCAGAGTAGCAGCCATGTTAGTCTGTATTCAGAAAAAGAAAAGGAGCACTTGTGGCACCTTAGAGACTAACAAATTTGAGCATGATGCTCAAATATATTTGTTAGTCTCTAAGGTGCCACAAGTGCTCCTTTTCTTTTTACTATTACCTTATTATCTTCTCGTTGACTAACAATTTATTCAGATGTCTTTCTGAGTACGAAAGTTAAGCTGACTGGTCTATAATCTCGGGTCCTCTCTGTTCCACTTTGTAAAGATAGGTTTCAGAGTAATAGCCGTGTTAGCCTGTATTCGCAAAAAGAAAAGGAGTACTTGTGGCACCTTAGAGACTAACCAATTTATTTGAGCATAAGCTTTCGTGAGCTACAGCTCACTTCCGATGAAGTGAGCTGTAGCTCACGAAAGTTTATGCTCAAATAAATTGGTTAGTCTCTAAGGTGCTACAAGTACTCCTTTTCTTTTTGTAAAGATAGCTACCATATTTGCCCGTCTCCAGTCCTTTGAGACTTTCACCAGTCCTCCATGAGTTCTCAGAGAATCACTAATAATTCTGAGTTTGAGCTAGTTCCTTAAGTACCCTAGAGTGAAATTCATCAGGCTCTACAAACTTGAACACACCTAACTTATTTAAACATTCTTTAACCTGTTCTTTCCTTACTCTAGCTTGTGCTCCTTTCCCCCTTATTGTTAATATTGTGTTAAGCATCTGGGTCACAATGAACTTTTTGGGGAAGACTGAAGCACAACAGGCATTAAACCCCTCAGTCTTCTTGGTGTTATCTGTCATTACTTCTCCTTCCCTGCTAACAAGTGAACAATGCACACTTACTTTTCAAAAAGCATTGAGATTAAATCTTGTTAAATTACAATTCAGGAAACAGATAAGAATTAATCTAAAATGGTATGAATGTGAAATTTTTAAAAAATAATATAAGTGAAATAGGATCTAACATATTTCATGTGTAAAAAGAAATGAAATTAGAAAAGAACCGTTAAGCTATATAAAAAGATACGACACCTAACAAAATGTTAAGAGGAGGCTCTGTTGGCTAAGCAGTCAGTTTGAAATTTAGGGCTAATTTGCTAACAACCTTTTAAATAAACCATATTTATGTGGCTGAACTGTTTTTCTAAGCAGGAAACAAACAGGAATACAAGTGTCCTTACTGGAAGTTGCTTGGAGTTCCAATATCTGCCTTTGTCAATTTCTTCTTTTTCACTTTTCCTTTTTTCTTGATCTCTTTGGTATATGAAACATTGTTGACTTGTGAATTATAAAATCTGTTAGTTGTAATTTCTGGATTTTTGATATCAACAGTTGCCATTGGTAGATTTGGACCTATGAAGAGAGGACACGGATTTCACTACTGTACTATACTTAACCAAAGTGGATTACACGTTTAACCTACCAACTGGATCATTCTGCATTGCTGACATACACATATTGCACCCATTTCCTCCCCAAATGTGGTACTCTGCTTGAGTTCTGAGTGTAAGTAGATTAGGAATCAGTAGAGAGGCTCAAGATAAATTATTCATTATTCAGGACTGAACTTTAGTCTGATTTGGGGTACTGCCGTAACAATTTCACAAACAGGACATTTGTTTTATGTCATTTTTGTGTAGAAGAAATCAAACAAAATCAGAGTAAGAAAGCTCGTTCATTCCATGATTTTCACTGAAGCATAACAGTAAGATTTGCTTGCACATAGATCTGTGTTTGAAATATGGAACACTAAACCCTACGTAGTCAGTTGCAGTGTACTACCACCATCATCTCATCATATGGCCAACAATGATGTCTAGAGACAAGAAACCTCAGACTACCAGAGTGTCAGCCTGTGATTGAAATATTTATGATGGATGCCTGTGATGTTCACTGGACCCTAAACAATCTGTTTTTAAAAAAGACAGTAGCTAGCCAGATAGCTACTCTGTTTCTGAGATTGACAGCAGCCAAAAATTAAACAACTCTCCCAAAGCCAATTCCAACTTACTCATATAAGCGGCCCTGTTGACATGAGTCAGGTGAGTAGGATTTGGTCCTCTGACTCATCCAGTCAATATTTCCATTAATAATAAAGAGGATACTAATGTAGAGGAGTGTAATGACATGTGGGACACTACTGGGCAAATTCTCAGATGGTGTAAGCTGTCATCTCTTTATTGAAGTCAATGGTGCTATGAGAATTTACCGGCTGAGGATACACCTGTACATCAGTACAAACCAATTCTGTTAGTGAGTCATTCTTTTGTACTATTCATTCAAGAGGAGATATTAATGTAGTAGTTCAACTGATTATATGGGAGAGTTTTATGCTTATTTCCATGGGTAGTCCCATTGATTTTGAAACATTTACTCCCACAGTTCAGCAATCCACATGAAATTTTTTTGGAAGGGACATTAAAACTCATGCTTCAAGGCCCAAGTTAATCTACAACTATCAGAGACCAGAACAAGACTTAACATCACAGACAGATTATCCCACATCTACCTCTTACAGGGTTTTTACACCTTCCTCTGAATTTTCTGTTGTTGGCCATTGTCAGAGACTGGATTAGATGAGCCTCAAGTCTGATTCAGTATGACAATTCCTAGATTCCAGGATAAGTGTTCATAGGATTGGGCTTTAATGTTATATGTATATGGCAGCTGCAAGGATCATTCTATCTGGTCCCTGCTCAAGCTCAGGAAGGTACGTCACTGGTGGATCAACTGACTGTCAACCGAATATAACCTACAGTATCAGATATCCTTAAAAATTCTTTATAGTCTTAAAAATGCTTCCATTTTAAAATTTTGTTTGAACCATGGGCAATTTCACATCATATGATAAAGACTGAATAATGAAGGTATGGAAACAAAGGTAAATCTGCAGTCTTGAAAAAGGAAAAAAAAATAATTTTTAGCTTGTTTTTCTAGAATATCTCAATGTAGAAAAAAGTCATCTTCCAACTACACCTGTCTGTGTTTCTAGAAGTCATTATTATTTCTCTCCATCTTCAATTATTCATAGGTGGAGCTGACAGCAATGCCGAAAGTTAAGGCTGCTCAACACTTTGCATTATGAGACCCTATTTTCAGTTGCTTATAACTTTAGAAAACTTCAATCTTTTGGGCTGAAACCGCATATGCCTCAGGCAGACGTGCTTTTGAAAAGTTTTGGCTAAAACAGTTCCATCATTTCAGAAAACAAAATTTGGGAAAAAATCATTGGTCTTACCCATGTTAAATTCCTACAACTTTTCATTGACACATACTAAAACCTCTGTGCTTTGAAGCAGGAGCTTGAAGTTTGGCAGGGGATTGTCATAGTACCAGGGATGTGCATTTTACAGTCCCCATGAAAGTCTCCCCAAATTTATCCAAGCTATAAGCCACTGAAAAGTCAGTTTGCACATGTTCAGTATAGAGGTTTGTTAGAGGCTGGCAGCCAAAATCCATCCCCCACTGCTCCTGCGCCATCTCCAGAGTGGCTGAGCATATTCCATCCTGAGGCTGCAGGAGTGGGTAGGACTTTCTCAAGAACTGGATCTCACAGCAACTGAGGGCTGTTGTGGTATTGGCACCAGAAATGAGAGCAAGACTTCCTTCTGTTCAATGCCCCTCCTGCTGGCTCCCAGACTGCATGGAGAAAGAAGCAGCCTCACTGGAATGCAGATAGATGAGGAAAGGGAATAGAAAGAGGACTGGACAAGCTGGCAGGGAAGAGGGTAGAAGGGGCCAAGCCAGAGGAAGAAAAGAGTGACAAACAGAAAGGTGTGTAGCCACTACAGGATATTCCCCTCCAAAATTTAGAACTGAACTGAGGATCATTAGTCTCAACATTCCTTGTCTATCTAGCAAATACAATCACACCATTAAAGACAAAGCATACACACAAGGTGACTGATTAAAGTTGTACAAGAAACCTTAATTCTGGTATTTCTTAACTTTTGGGTACTTGACTTTGCAACTTTAGCATATATTCTTCTAACAGTTGTTTTGGATGTCATATTAAATATCAATTGAACATCTGACTTTGATAAGCTGAAAAAATAGAGCACTCTGTACTAACAACTAGAAATTTTTTTCTGAAGGCAACTGACTATATTCAAATACGGATATTCCTAATACTAATGAATTCAGGAATTATTTATCTTACATTTTCCTTAATATAAGAAGGTTATTAAAACGTATTTTTGGTAGTATTAGCTAATAGGTCTCCTTTTTTAGTTGCCTGTTTTTTTAGTGGACTTTCCTTAACAGGGAACGATTTTTCTCTGCACAGCCTTGAATACGTTAAGTATTGTTTGACTCCTGAAATTTGTCCTTTGAAAGAATGCTTGTGTATTATTTTTTCAGAGACTTACTAAATATAAATGAAAAAAAGATAAAATTCAAACTAATTGTATGCTCAGTGGTTACTGGGGCAGTGAGTACATATTACTATAGCTGACAGGATTTTGTAGAGGCACTGCATATCACATTTAAAAACTGTACTTTAAAAGCTTACTGACTCACAGCCAAATCTTAAAGCTGAACTTATATATAATCTTGAGCTCTGTAATAAAATTTTGAAACAAAATGAAATTACATTTATATTTACATGATGCATTAACAATTACATGCTTCCAAACTGAAGTCACTACAGAAATATTACTTAACTATTGATTTTACTCTTAGTTTTCATGACTATGGGTATACATTTGCATGATAGCAGTAGTTATAATATATTACTCTTAAAAAAAATTATTCCAAAAATCAAATGGAATTTGTAACATTGTCTTGGGAGCGGGGGAATATATTGCATTTTCTTTTGAGATCAGAACATTTCGTATCTCACCTTTTCTGATAGAAAGGCTAAATCTTCAAATATTCAGTATGTTGAATATATGCTGCCCACACACCGTATGTAAAATGCTATAACTATAAATGGTTGTCCATTCAAAGAGTTAGGTAATTTCATAATTAATCTTTATTCAGCTGTAATATTTGAAATGTTAGTCAGGTTCCCTGATATTAACACCACCTGTTCCAAAATTCACAGAATAATTTTTAGCCAGCTGAGAATGCTTACCGTCAGGTTTAGACCTTAGTTGTCCATGAGGAATACAAGAACCTCTGCATGAACTATCATTTTCTTCTAGTACTGCCATATTTATATCCAACAAAATTTTCCCCATCATAACACATGCACCTTCCCCATCAGCTGTAGACAACTCAATAAATGAAGATGAGAGAGGCAAACAGAGCTCATCATTTGGAAGTACTTGACAATACAGTGGCCCTAAGCATCCACTGATGTTAATATCTGTGATATCTTCTGAAGCGGCTCCAGAAAAAGTAGTACAAAACATTATTTTGTATTTTATAGAATCCTCTGTATTTTAAAGCTTTGCATGTCATCTGTCCCAGAGCGCAGACAACTCTAGAATAAATCTAATTGGTTGTAGTGCTGTATTACAGCTGAAATAAAAATTGTACCACATGGTTCTTAGAAACCTAATTCTCTGACAAATCCCTTTCTTTTTTCATCCATAAATTTTACCATGATGTCAGTATAACCAAGGCAACTCCTTCAATTTGCATAAAGAGACTTTGCTATTACCAATGAGAGTAAAACAAATCCCAGGAAATTACAGGCTATGTAATGCATATTACATAACCATTTATGCAAATTTGGTTTTAATTCTGCTTGAAAACTTAAATCCTTAATCCTAAAGGTCATTCATAACAGAGGATTTTTTTTTTATTTGAAGTATAGCTCTACAGACAGCCTTCTCTACATGTGCAGAAAACTTCAGAGACTTTTAAACATTTTGGGTGAGATTCTGGCCCAAATCAATGGCCACTAACTTTAACGGGGCCAGGATTTCACACATGTATTAAAAAATTTTATATATATAACGATTTTTATAAAAGGTTTTGTGAACTGGAATATAACCATTTTATATCTATATCCATCTATCTATCTATCTAAAAATGATTATATTCCAGTTCACAAAACCTTCCATAAAAATAATTATGCACTGAGACAAAAAAGTAAAATATTTTTTCCTAGAAGAAGGAAATGTATTTTTGCTTTTTACTAGAACCTCCTAGGAGCTGGAGGAAGTTATATGAAAGAACAGTTACTTAAGCTGCAGTGACTGTGGTTCTTAGAGGTGTGTTGTCCATAGGTATTCCCTTCTGGTGCATCCCTTGCACATCTCAAGTTGAGAATATTTTGACCAGCAGTATTTGTTGTGGCCATCCCTGAACCTTGAGTACCCTCGTACCTCCTCCTCTTCTTGAGGACAAAGTGTGGAGCGGGGCCAACTAGCCTTCAGTTCCTTCACCAATACAGAATCCAGGTA